AGCTGGAGGAATGTGGGGTGCACTCTCTGGGGGAATGCAGGGCATTTTCCATAGAAAACTTTATCTCTGGCAAGCGTGCCACCACATCCTGGGCTTGTTTGTCCTGCAAGAGCAGCGAACTTCCCAGGAAAATATAGCTACCTGGTCAGAAAAGCCTGATAGGCTTTGTTTATTAGCGGCTAAATATTAAACCCTCGGCAAACAGGGCTGGGAGATACCTTCGGGGCCGGGAGCGGGGCTGGGGCTGTGGGGCCACAATGCGGTGCCCCACAGGCTGCCGGCCCCAGGCAGCAGCAGGAGGAAGCCTCCCCAAAATGCTGCTCTCAGCACAGCCTCAGAAATGCACCTTCCTCCAGGTGAGGAAAGGAGCTAGTGAGGCTGAAAAAGGATTAAAAGGTTTCTCGCTACGGATTGGGATTTCTCCACCACTGAACCTCGCGGTGCCTTGATTTGCACAGGCAGCGTGTCTCCAAGCACGCCAGTGCTGCCCCAGAAACCCACTGCTCTGGCACATCAAACTGTGTCCTTCAAGGCTGCCTGATTCATCTCGCAGGGCCCCTGTAAAATTTGCCTTCAGTAATCAGGCCAGTGATACCAGAACGGCATTTGCAACTGAAGCAAAGGACGGGCTTAAATCTTGCGTGGTGTCTCTGCAGCGGTGCCAAAACAAAGCGCACGCAAAGCCCATTTCCTCTCCCCATGCCTCAGGTAACCAAAGGGCAGCATTTTGATCTGCTCAGGCTCTTCATAGAACAGTTTTTCCTGCCGTGCTTGAAGGGAACCTGACAAACACATCAACAAAGCCTGACCCACTTTAGCAGAACAAGAACGACACCAAGAGAGGGAGCGGGGATTTTAATCACGTCCTTAATGCTGTCCTATTAACACATCCCTGCTAGGTGGATCCGGATAAATTGATCCTGATAAATGGATCTGGATAAATCGATCCTGACAAGTCTGTTCTCTGAACAGGGCAAGAATTAAAACCTGCACCATGGCCGTGCAGGGCAGTGTTGCTCTGGGACCCACAGATCCACATTCATAGGGACTCAAACTTTTATATTGTCCCTCTCCAGCACCTTTCCAAAGCACGGTGTGTGCAGTTGGGGTGTCAGGAAGCACTCCTAGCCCAGGCTGGGTGCTGGGCACTGCCAGAGGCTCTTACAGCATTTCTTCGAGGCTCTGCTTTCATGTCGAGAGCTCCAAACACCGCCGCCTCACGTGTTTGGCGGCACGTGTTTTGTGACTAACTCATTGTTTGCAAATAACAGCAAGGACACTGCTGAGTCAAGCACGCTGCGGGCGATACCAGCAGGGGCCCAGAGCTGATTTTGCCCAGTGGTAATGGGCACTTTCCTCCTTTGGGGGTGGGTTTGACACCCCCAACTCACACTCCAGGCTCTGCGGGGTGAGTTTTGCCCCTTTGCACTGTGTCAAAATTGAGGCTGGGAGGCAGGAAAGCTCAGAGCTGCCTGCACCAGGAGATGGGCCAGCCTGGGGGCTGCAGCCAGTCCTGCCGTGTGTTTTCCTGGATCCGTGTTTCTGCGTAGCTGACCTTGTGCAAGAAGCTCTCCGCGCTCTCCTTGCCCACGCGCTGGCTTGGATACCTCCCCTGAGGGGGGGACTGCATCCCCCCACATTTGCTCAGCAGTGGCGTGGCATCAGCGAACATCACGAGATCGCCGGACACTCCCCGCGCCCTTGGCTCGTCCCCCTTCTCCCCCCCAAATTTTGGCACGCTCAAGATCTGGCCTTCAGGGCTGGGTCGATGCCCTGTGGCTCTGACATCCAGCCTGGAGCCAGAACGACCTGGACGAAGCCTCCTGTGCCTCAAATTTTCCCCACATGCTGGGCTTCGTTGGATGAGGAGGCCTCTCTCCTTCATGGTGGCACCTCCTGGGCCATGGGACGATGGACTTCTCCCCAGGGCAGCCCCAGGATGGGACATTGCCGAGTTCCCCTGGCAGTGGGTGGCTCTGGTCCTTCAGATGTGCTTGGATGATGCTCAGCTTATGGCCCCCTCATTCCTGGCAGCATCCCTCAAAGAACCAGGGACACCAGGGCCTGAAATGGGCCCAAATTTCCACCTGATCAAAATTAGGGGGATGCTGGGCAGCAATCTCAGCAGGCTTGCAGCCACAACAGCAAAAAGCACTGATGTTTTCATGCTGCTGACCACAGCCACAGGCTGCTTGCCCAGAGGCCGGCAGGAGCTACAACTTTTTATCCCTATCGCCCCATGCCAGGTGGCCACAACCCTGACAGCACCTCCCTGACATTGTGTCACAGACTTATCCCATTGCAGCAGCTTGGCAGGCCTTTAAACAGAAAATTTGGGTTGACAATGTGGTACCGGGGCAGGATGGAGAGATAAAGTTCGACACAATGATAGCCGGGCATTAAAAAATGATAACAGAGCTGGTGGCAATCGCACGGCAAGCTCCAGATGGACAGCAGAGAGAAAGGGGCCTGGTGAAATGCCAGATCATCCTCATAAAAATGTCAGGTCATTGTAAGGAGACATCGGTGAGAGGCACGGAGCTGCACAGTGCTCTGTTAAATAACTGGTGGTAAAACTCCCCCAAATTACCTTTGGAAGCAGGCATGAGATGCAATTCATATAGAAATGACAGGAAAAAAAAGAATAATATTAGCATTGCAAAGAAACAGGCAATAAGAGGCTCCAGACACGCTTTATTTGATCAGCTGTTTTTTTAGGATAACAGGTTAACCAAATGTTTGGGCAAGCAACGAGCTTATGCGATAGCTTCAAGATGTGGGAGATCAGATGGTCTGGAGACATCTGCACATTTCAGAAACTGGATGTCCAGCAAGTGAATTATACAAAGAGCACAATCTACATACCGATAAAAAAACAGGACAATCATTTGCACTCTGGGTTTATCACCGAATCTAGGGGGGAAGTTATTCTTTTCATTCAACACTAAGCGTCTCTGTTCATGCTTTAGCTGCCTCACCAGGAATTTTCAGAGGTTGCTTACTCAAACCTTTCAGCTGAGGGCCTGAAAGTGGGTGAAAACCAGACTGAAAATCAGGAAGATCTGCAGAGCAATGACAGCTCTGTGAGAGAACAGCCAGACACGGCCCTTCCAGCTGAGATGGAGACCCTGGCGGGATTTTAAAGTGATGTGGAGGCTGGAGATCGTGTTGAGGGTGATGGCTACCTATTAGGAACTGCATTACAAGGACGTAAGCCAGGCCATTGAAGAGTCACCCTGTGGGGATAAGGGTCTCACAGCCTGGAGCTCTGCAAGGGCAGGTGAGGATTAGGGCTGACGTCCCCGCAGTCCTCTCTAGGAATATGGACACACCAGTCATGGTGTAGGCAAGAGGTTGACACTCAAATTGTGACCACACAGTCTCATCCCATCAATTCACCAGCATCTTTGGTGATGGAGGAGCCATTGGCACCACGTCCTCACTGCAAAACATCTTCCTTCTCCCCTGAACTTGCCAGGAGACATGACAAGCCCCAAAGGATGGGAGTGGGTCACCTGAAGGAGCTGTTCCCATGAGAAAGGGAAGGTGCGAGGCAGGGACAGGGCTGAATGCCACCGAGATAAAGCTGCCTGTTCCAGCTGCTGTGGGAACACGTGAACCAAAATGGGAACTGAATGGCACAAAGAAATGCTGATTGACAGCGCTGTAGTTGTGTTTGAATGGTATCTGCATGTTGTCACCTACCCTAATGACTGCCTGACTCACCCATCAGAGGCAGGCACCCAGCAGCCTAGCAATTAACCACACTCCTCAATGAAGTCAAGGGGAGAGTTAAACCCAGCACGGTACAGAAGAAAATGACCCCCGTGAGGCCGAATTGAATCTCGCTTTAGAAAAGCCCATAAAACAACGTGCAGGAACAAACCTCTCTGCTCAGCCCCATGCAAAGGACGCAGCATCCTGTACCTCCTGCTTGGCTCAGCCAAGGACCATAAATCCCACCAGCCTTCCCACAGGGATCTGCTCAGCAGGTCCTGGGCTCCATGGGGCTCCTCGCGCATTCCAGCACCAGTGCCCAAGCTGGGATCTATTCCTGACAGTAGGAACAAAGTGAACAATTGCATCTGCTATATTTAGAGCAAGCAGTCAATACTCCACGTGTACAAATGGTTACCAGCATTCTCATTTGATATATAAATAGCCCCTGTTTGCTTTTCGAAATAAATTGCTTTAAAAAAATAGAAAATTGCCTTCCCAGTCATCCTCAGCCTATAACTAACTGATGAGCACGGAGGCTTATTGCAAATGAAATATTATGTATTTTCTCAAAGCCAATCCAGGAAGCAAAACTCGTGATTATGTCTAGCATTATTATGGCTGCAATCCTGTGTATTGATAGAGAGATTTAAACGTGGCAGCAGCAGTTTGCTGAAGCAAACTCGGAGGACCGTGATACTGACGGGCACCATCCCTGATCTCCTGGCTTCCAGGCAGGGCACCCTCACCACCCACCTCCTTCTCCTGCAGGTCAGGCATGCGAAAACCCCATTTCTTTCCCCTCTCCCAGCTTCATTTCTTCCCCCTTTCCCAGATTCACTCAGGTCCCAGCCCTGGCACCAGATTTCTGTCTCTGTCCCTCCAGATTCCCCCATTTTCAAGCCCCAGCTCTCTGCCAACATTTAAATTTTCCATCCCTCTGACAGATACACCCAGTGCTTCTTCCCTCACACAGAAAGCCAGCTCCTGTGGAGGCATCTCTGGGTAAGGTGTTACAAAACAGCACGGCAGCCACCTCGATGCATTGTCCTCAGTTAGGTTAAAGTTAAACTAAGGACAGCGGTTAATGAAAAAACACGGCAGAAAGCTGAGATCTTATGGACACAACCAAACCCTGCTGGGGTAGAAGGGTGCAGTGGTTACTGATTTAACACAGAATAACGCAATTCCTCCTGCAAGGCTCAGCGGGAAAGGCAGGGACGCAGACGGGCTGGGGACACCCCCGATCTGCTGATGATCAGTGCAAATTGTGGGGTGTAGAGCTGGGAGAACAGACCCAGAGTGTGGCATGGGTTGGATATTAGGAAAAAATTCTTAAAGGATTGTGAGGCGCTGGAAGGGGCTGCCCAGGGAAGCAGTGGAGTCACCATCCCTGGGGGTCTTTGAGTGATGTTTAGATGTAGTGCTTGGTGATACGGTTTAGTGGAGGGCTTGTTAGCGTTGGGTCAGAGGTTGGACTATGTAAACTGCTTTAATTCTTTGACTGGATGATTTTGGAGCTCTCTTCCAACCCAGATGACTGCGCCAGGCCCAGCTCCAGCCTCACCCACGGGGCCTTACCGCAGGCCTCAGCGCAAGGCCCCAACCTCCAGCCCGGCCCCCAGGCTTCACCCCCATGCTCCCGGCTCCCCTCCCAACTCCAGCCCCAGGCTCCAGCCCCGTTTCCAGGCCCCAACCGGAGCCCAGGACCCGGCGCAGGCCGCTCCCCGGCCCATCCCCGGGCCGAGCTCCGCCCTGTGCCGTCACTGAGCAGCGCCGCGGCCGCGGGCTGGGGGCCGCCATGGCCTCGGGGGGCGCCGCCGCCTCCGCCACCGCCACCCGGGCCCCCGCCGAGGAGCCGCCGTCGGCCGAGCCCCCCGCCGAGCAGAAGCCGCCACCGCCTCCCCCTCCGCCGGTTCAGGAGGAATTTTCCTTCCTGCCGCTCGTCCACGACATCATCAAATGGTAACGGGCTGCGGGGAGCCGGGGATGGAGAGCCCCGGGTGGGGAGCGGGGCAATGGGGTGCCTAACTTTTTAAGGATCCTTCTCGGTCACCTCAGTGTCTCCCCTGCTCTTTGCCTCCTGGTTGGGGTTGTGGGAAGGGTGGCACACCCGTACCGGGCGCTGTTTGGGTCACCGAGGTGGTGCCCGGGTGCTGACATCCACTTGTGCTGGGTCATTGCTCTGTGTAACCCCGCTGATAATGGCCCCAGAAGGTACAGGCAGTCCTGGAGCAGCAGCAGCAGTACAGGGTGTTTCTGGGGTGTTGTAAAAAATGGGATGGCTCCTGCAGCCTTACAGGCTGAATGGATCGCTTCCTGGTTCAAGATCGGTGATTTATGGGCAAAGGATCCTGAAAACTGGGGTGTTTTGGGGCTAGGGTGGCCCCATCGGAGATGAGTTCCCAGCAGGAGCATGACACTGAACATCCATCCAGGGCCATCGCTGTGCTCTCACTTGGGCATGGAAAGCACAAGTTCCCCTGTTACCAGTTACGGGACCAACTGTGCTTTCCCTGCATGCTTATATGAGAGCTGAAGCTGCTTTGTGTCCTGGTAGTGCTTCACTTGTACCAAACCTGAGTGCTGAGAGAGGTTCGCCCTTAACAACTGCACCGTGAGAGCCATGGTAAGGAAAGACACCCCCCCTGCCACACCAGATGCAGGGCAGACGTGAGAACACAAACCCCAGCCTCAGTTTCCCCGCTGAGGCTGACCCTGCCTGAGCTGCCCAGACCACGGCGGGGGGCTTGAGCCCGTTGCCAGCTGCAATCCTGTGCATAAGCAAAGCGGGCAGGAGCCCCGTGCCGAGACCTCCCAGCCTGCGATTTGTCACCGAGCAGGTCATGACGACCCACAGATGACAGCTCTCAGGATATCCTGTGCCCTGTCCTGCCGAGCCGCCCACTCCCACCACCCTGCTCCCTCCGTGGGGCTGGCACCTGGCTTCTCCATGAGCCGATGCAGCCGTGCCGAGCGGTGCTGCGGGCACACAGGACCGCAGAGCCAGGCGGTGTGGGATGTGCCACATCATGGCCCTGACAGATGGCAAACGTATTATCCTTTAACACTGCCACTAGACACGGAGCCCAGCCCTGGTGTTTTGACACTGACTCAGCCCTGAAGACACCTCACCTCCAAGGTGACTCGGTGTTCAGGAGCGATGATATATCGCGTAAATTTGCTTACACTCAAGGCCACGTGCTCTCTCCTGTCATTTGGGTCCCGAGAAAGTTTTCCCAGGCAGGGCTTGCTGTTGTTTTCACCCTTGTGCAAACAAATGGCATTGCCTGTGAGGTCTCAGCACATGGCTCTACCACTAATTGGTTGTGCTGGTGTAACCAGGAGCCCCGGTGGGACGTGATGGAGTGACACCAGTGAAGGACAACTGGGGAATCCTGCGAGGGGTTTGAAGAGCTCTGTCCTTTAAGGGAGGTCCTCAATGTGCTCCTTCAGCACAGGCTGTGGCTGGACATTCGCATTTAATCCTAGGTTATTGCAGGTGGTTGAATCTCTTCCCGCTCTTCCTCTCACCTCCGCCCCTGCCCTCAAAGAGGGAGTCACTTCAATGTCTTGATCCAGCAGGGAAATCACCCATCAGAAAAAAAAAATAATATAAAAAAAAGAATTATTCATTTGGATCAACCACCTGGACAGGCAACCAGCCGTTCTCTAGGTGCAGGTAAGGGAATAAGCCTCGGAGAGACCCGGAGGGCCCTTTTAAAGCCACCCTGCAGCTCTCGTGGATTAAAGGCAGTGTCAGCCCATCCTTCCCCAGACGTGCAACGTGTGTGTGCGCCTGTATTTTTCCACTGCTGACCTGACCAGTAGATGCCTGCATAATGGGGATACATTATCGGACCAGCTGCAGTTTTATTTAGAAGAGAGTAATGAATATTTTGTTCCGACAGCCTTTTGAAACGAACAGGACCATCTGGTTAAAAGTTTTGCTCTCAGCCATGTCACGATTCCCCAAAGTTATAATCAAGCACCTCTCAGCCCTGGTCATGCCAAGGAGGTTTATTTTTAGGGCTGGCTATTGAACGGGCTCCCAGATTTCAAAGGCCGTTAGAATCCCGCTTTCACTATTAGCAGGCGCCCTGGAAGCTGAGATTTGCTTTCGCCTGGAATCGTAAAACTCCTCGCTGCTGCTAACGAAGCTGAGGCAGATACTAATGAGGGTTTGAGGGCAGACACTGCTTCAGACAGCACTGATCCCTGAAAAGCACAGAGCTGGCTGCAGAAGCAATTGTGCTGCTCTTAAAAAATAAGCTGTCGCTTCTCTTTTATTAGGTATACATCCCCAGAGAGTCGTTTTAAAGCTCCAAAGTGCCATTCTCTCTGCCATTGGACACTCTCTGATACTTTGGGGAACAATTTCCATTTTCTGCTGTCAAGCTGTTTGACTGCATTGATTTTTTGGATTACTTCGGCAACAGGTCACAGGCAAGCCTGAGATCTTTTTTTCACAGGTGCCTACACACAACACGCATGCATAATCTTACTGGCCCCAAAGAGAGAGACCGAAAAGAAAAGATTTAGCCTATTTTGTGGTAATGTTTTAAAGCTCTAAACCAACTCCTGAATGGTGGAATGGGACCTAAGGTAACTGGATTGTGTGCTGGAAATTACCAGGAAAGCAGTTTGTCTCAGAGGCTACCCAGTCCGTTTATTTATCTGTGGTTATTTTATTGTCAGAGGTGACTGAGGTGTGTGTAGCTAAATACCAGGAACAAAGGTTTCCCCGTGGATTCCAGTTTAAGCTGTGATTACACTGGAAATGGCAGTTCCCCCATCAGGCTGAAGGCACCTTTCCAATAGCAGGTGTGAATAGTGTCTCTGTTTTCTCTCCTCTGCAGCATGGACAAGGACAGCCAGGATGTTCACCAGGTGCTGAATGAACTCAAAAACAAGTTCCAGGAGATGAGGAAGCTGATCAGCTCCATGCCCGGCATCAGCGTCAGCCCAGAGCAGCAGCAGCAGCAGCTGCAGAGCCTGCGGGAGCAGGTCCGGACCAAAAACGAACTGCTGCAGAAGTACAAGAGCCTTTGCATGTTTGAAATCCCCAAGGAGTAGGAGGGGAGCAGCTCTGCTCGCGGGGTCAGGGAAACCTCTCCTGGCCGAACAGAGAGAAAAAGGTGTCAGAAGTTTACTTTTCTTTCTTACATGCTTTTTTTTGTCACATTGCTCTGCAGTCGTGTTTGTGGACCATGGGCATGTGACAAGCGAACCAGAACAGTTCTTGTGTGCCTCACATACTGGTGATTACAGCGGTGTCAGTCACGTTGATCTGCTGTAGGACTGTGTGTATTTATATATGCATCTCTGGTTTTTCTCTCTGTGTGTGTTTGTTTTCTTTTTTTTTTCATTCAAGCAAGCAGGGGGCATTGTGTTTTCTCCTCACTAAAGGTCAAAATACCTGCTGGTTAAGTTCAAAAGGAAAAAGGGGGCATTTTTTGCATTTTTTTTTTCACTTCTGAATGGACAAAAGCGGCCAAACATCAAAAGGGAACAGAAGAGGGAAGCACAAGCTGTTTGGCCCCTGCTGCTGGAAAGGGTCTCTGGGACACTTGGCAGTAGTGTATGTATAAAAGGGGAATGATTGCTCTCAGTTTTGTATGTCCTCTCTCTTTCTCTGTTTTTAAACAAGTGGTGGTTGTGTCTGAGATGAGTCAAGTAAAGATTTAGAAACTCCAAACTGCCCCCGCTGTGTGTTCACTGAGTGCTCGTGGGCTCAGCAGGGGCAGGACTTTGGCAGTACAGAGGAGAAGTGCCTGGGCCCAGCTCCTCTCTCTTAACATCCCTTTTTTTTGGAAGGGGGATGACCTGGGGAAGCAAAATAGGCTGCTAGGGGCGTGAATTTCAGCGGGCTGTGGGTGCGTTGATCCCCCACATCTGCCTGGGGGAGCACAGCTTGTAGGCAGTACGCTGGGCATCCTCCTCCTGGAACAGAAGAAGGGAAAGCAGAATCGAACCAGCAGGTGTAACACAACAGCTTTCGGTTGTTCTGTAAGTGACAGAAGTCAGGCCCAACAGGATGGGGCAGTTCCGTATCTTCAGTGCTCCAGGGGCTTCCCACAAGTGCAAATATTGGAGTGGCTTGAACAGTTTGCCAGTGGCTGGTGGAAAGCTCTCGAACGCGGTATTGTGTTCGGATGGATCCCAGAACTCCCTGTCCTCTGTCCTCCCGCTGCTGGCGGTTACGGTGTCGGGTGACAACCTGGTAAGCAGCACGGCATCTCAACCCACTAACAAATCCGTGAGGGAACCTTTAATCTCACGGCTCTCCGAGCTACGCTGCAAGAAGGCACACGTCAGCAGTGGAGGAGTGGAAAACCACGCAGGGAAGTACAGTATCTGTTGAGAGCCAGCATCGGAGGGCCGGTAGCATTCGTGCCCTCAAAAGAAGAGAAGCAAGATCTGTTTGGGTAAGGTTTTGCTTCCCTAAGCCGAGAGGCAGGTAATTATGCTCGCTGGGAGCTGGGATGGTTGCAACTCACCTGTAGCCTAGAGATTGCTCTGTCCCCACCGGAGTTGCTTTACTAGTAATTTCTTTGGGACGGTGCCAGCGTGTAAACTCTGAGCAAAGCAGAACAGCAAGATAAACAAAGCACAATGTACACGCTTTTTATTACCGAAATTACCTTTCTGCCAGCCGTTGCCTGTCCCAGTTCAATAAATTCTTCTGTCTCATGCCTGGATGGAGGTTTCCCTTTTTTTGCCAGTTGCTGTTCCTGAGAAAGCAGGGCGTATGAAGAGCTGGAAGAAACAGTGTTTTCCAAAGAAATGTCCTGGCACTTAATACAGGAACAAGTTAACTCTGTTAACTTGAATCCAAGTTTGAGACTAAAACTGAAGAGGTTTTGTTTGCAATCTCACTCACCCACCTTACTTTTATGGCTTCAATAGAATTTTTCCTCATTAATATGTACTAAATGTAAGTCTGTTCTGCAACTTGAGGGCGGAACGGGGTGGCTGAAAATGATCTGGAACAGAAACAGTCTGCTTCTGAGAACCCGAAGCCGGCGAGAGCTCCTCTTTGAAGAGCTTTCACCTTATCCTTTCACTTCCAGCAATGCTTGCTGTGACTTATTATTACCAAGAGATTAAAAACCATCAGATGCAGAGGTGACCTTTCAAGCAAAGTACTTCCTTTACTCATGTTGCAAAATAAAAACAATATCCTGGACGGGGCGCAAATGAATCAGTCTCTGTTGACATCATTAAAGTGTGTTTATTTAACCGGGAAAAGGCATGAAACACAATAAGCTCTTTATAATTAAATGATGTCATTTGCCTCGGTTTCTGCAGTGAATGACATGCCAATGCCCGGCGTGTCATGGAGTTGACAGGATCGCAAATCAGCGTTGCCCAGTGAAGTGAGGAAAGAGTTCTGGCTCCGTGACCTGCTTGAGTAACAGCGTGCGTGGCCCCTCGTTACCCAGTGTGGCAAGAAACCGGCTGCTTTCAGAGACAGAAACCTTTGCACTGGGAGTCGGGGAAAATGGTGTAATAAAGGGATTGAGCTGAGAGGCGAACTTTGAGCCCCTCGGAGTTGGGCTCGGGTCTCGGTTTGACAGGATTTGGTTTTGCTTTGGGGACTGGCAAAGAGAAAAAAGCAGACCCACAAGTGTCATTTGAAAAAGAGTTTTTTTTTTTTTTATTATTTTGTAGAAAAAATAAAACATCAAGTTTCACCCACGGTAGAAACACTTGAAGATTTTTTTGTTCATGTCAGTGACAAGCAATACCTACATAAAGTGCCTATTATGTTCTCATTTAAAAAAACCCTTCCCACTCCCCCCCCGCCCCCCAAATCTTGCAAATCAGACAAGACAAATGTAAACAAGAGTCAGTTTTTGGTCCATTGGGGCTGTAACTCTGCAACGCCTTTGCAACAGCTTAGGAGTGTCTTCTGCACGTGTTTTGCAAACACAGACAAACACACGACACAGAGCCAGGGTCCGTGCACAGCTTCTCAAGTAAAAACAAAACGAAACGAAACAAAAAACAAACCCCAAGCCCCAAGTGGATTCTCACAGGTCTCTGCCCTCCCTCCTGAGAGCGATGCCCTGGCCCCAGGCTGGGCGTTTTGGGAGGGAAAGAAACACGAGGTCTGCGCCCTCCGGGCTCATCCTCCCTCGCCACCCATCCGCCCTTTCTCTCCGTCTCTCTCCCCGGAGGAGGCTGCTCCTGGCACCCCCCTCCTGCCCTCCAAATTCTCCCCCACCGCATCCCCCTCTCCCAAAATGTGCCCCGGGGGTGGGAGCTGAGGAAAACCGACCCACGGGAGGAGGGAGGCTGGGGAAGAAGCAAGTCCCTCTGCCCGGGTAGGCACCTGCCCACCCTCCTGCCTGCCCAAAGTCACTCCGGCACCGAGCCTCTTTCCCCCTCCCTGCCTTCCTTCCTTCTTTCCTTCCTTCCTTCAGCTCTTCGGGGGGCTCCTAGCTGATCACGCAGCGATCCTTCTCCTTGCCGTGCCCGCCGCCGATGGCTTTCTCCCGGATGTACATGAGGTCGCTGTGGATGCTTGGCCGGCGGGCGAAGGGAGCCACGATGCCGTACGCCTCCTCCGTGCCTCCCCGGCCGCCCTCTTTCAGCAGCTTTTTGCCTTTCAGAGCCTTCTTGTGCAGGATGTCGCAGTACTGGACCGAGACCTTGCGGTGCAGGTCGGGGCTCATCTCGCTGGGCAGCTTGGCCATGGCGAAGAGAGCCTGGAACATCTGGTCCAGGCTGCTGTTCTTTTTGGCCGAGATCTCGAAGTAGGCGCATTTCTTGGGGTCTCCCCCCACCAGCTGCTCGATCTCCCGGGGCTGCACCTCCCGGTAAAAGTCCCGGTCGCCCTTGTTGCCGCAGATGACCAGGGGCACCTCTATGTTCTCCTTGGTTTTGTTCTTCAGGCACGACTTGGTCTCCAGGATCTGCTGCTTCAGGCGCTGCACCTCCTCGAAGGAGTCCCGGTTGTCCAGGCTGAACACCAGGATGAACACATCGCCTGGGGACAAAGCGGGGAAGTGAGACGGCTGCGGGGACAGGGACACACACCGAGACCCCCCGGGAAAACCACAAAGAGACCGGGGAGAGATGGACCAGGCAGCACCAAACCAAGTCACCCACACCGTGCGCACACAAAATCCCACCTCCCTCCTCCCGGGGCTGGAAAACCCATCTCCAAAATGAACAATAACCCCCCAAACCCACCCAATTTCCTCCCCGGCCAAGTACCTGTGAGGATGGAGAGGCGGCGCATGGCTGGGAAGGGGTGGTTGCCCGACGTGTCCAGGATGTCGAGCTGGTAGACCTCGCCGCGGATGCTGTAGAACTTGCGGTGGAAATCCTCGATGGTGGGGGTGTACTGCTCCTCGAAGCGGCCGGTGAGGAAGCGCGAGACGATGGCCGTCTTGCCCACCTTGGAGGAGCCCAGGATGACCATGCGGTAGCAGTTTTTGGCGGGGATGCTCAGCTCGGCCTCGCTGGGACACATCTTCTTGATCATCGCTGCCAGTTTCATTGAAGCCGGCGAAGGCGCGGCTGGCGCCGAGAGGACGAGGAAGAGGAGGAAGAGGAGGAAGAAGAGGAAAGCAAAGCGAAGGGTGCCCCGGCTGCTCAGCACCTCTCCCCCCGCTAGGAAAGGGCCGCTGTGAGCTCTGCACGGGCTCCGCAGCCGCGTTATATGGAGGTGGCAGCGACCGCCCCTCGGCGCGTCACGGCCCGGGGCGGCGGCGGCTGAGTCAGTGCCGGCCCCGGCCCCCCCCCTTTTCCCCGTCCCCCCCCTCCCCGTTCCCATTCCCGTTCCCGGTCCTGCCCCGGCTCCGGATGCTGCAGGAGCCGGGGAGCCGCGTCCCGACCCCCCCTTCCCCTTCTCCGGGTCCTGGGCAGCAGACGGAGCCCCCCCCCCCCCTCTCCGTGCGCCCCGGGCGAGTCCCGCACGGATGGCAAAGTCCTGCAGGGATTGGGGCGCTTTTGGGGTGCCGGGGGGAGAGGGGAGGTGGTGGCCAGCTCGGGGATGCAGCCCCGAGAAGGAGGGGTTTGGGTCGGGCTTTGTGGGGAAACCCCAATCCGACCCCAGCCCCAGCCCGACCCCAGCCCCAACAGGACCCCATCCTCATCCCCAGCCCTACCCCAGCTCCAGCCCCATTCCCAAAACGACCCCAGTCTCAGCCCCATCCTGACCCCAGCCCCATCCTGACCCCAGCCCCATCACCAGCCCTATAGCAGAACCCCATCTCCAGCCCCATCCCTACCCCACCTCCAGCCCCAGCACGACCCCAGCCCTTCCCCAGCCCCATCTCCAACCCCAAGACGCCCCCAGCCCCAGCCTGCCCCCAGCCCCATCCCCATCCCAGCCCATCCCCCTACCCCATCCCCAACCCCAACACGACCCCATCCCCATCTCCAAGACGACCCCAGCCTCAGCCCTAACACAGCCCCATTTCTACCCCATAACCATCCCCAACCCCAAGAAGACCCCATCCCCAACCTGCCCCAATCCCCATCCCTACCCCATTCCCATTCCTACCCATCCCATACCCATCCCTACCCCATCCCAATCCCTATCCCATTCCCTTCTCCATCCCTACCCCATCCCCATCCTTACCCCATCCCGACCCCATCCCCATGCCCACCCCATCCCATCCCCACCCCGACCCCAGCCCCAGCCGCCTGCAGCCCCGGCTGCCCCCACTAGAGCGCGGCCGAGGGC